CAGCAGCCAGGGAGGGCTGACCCCTGACCTCACAGTCCTCTTCTGCCCCCTCGCCCTCCAGGCCAGGGGCCGCCTGCGGGGAGAGTGAGCAGGGGCCGACACATGCTCCACACACACACACACACACACACACACACACACACACACACGTGTGCGTGCGGGACAGGGACAGGGAGCACCTGGACTGTCCCCACTGCCTGACCTCCCCGCCCTCCCAGGCTAACGGCACAGTGGACCCTGCCTTCGTGGACATTCCCGGGGACGAGGCCTGTGGGCCAGACACTTGCATCCAGGTGGGGGTGCCCTGCCCAACCCCCCACTCCAGGCCCCAGTTTCCCCCTGGCTGCCCCAGGGCCCCTTAAGCCCAGCAGCCTCTCCAGGCTGCCCCTGGGGCACGGGGGGGGGGTGCAGAGCAGGGCTGCGGGCCACACTGACCCAGCTGTCTACCCCCCCCCTCATCTGCAGGGCTGGAGAGCCGACATGCACTTCTCAGCCCCCCAGCAGCTGTGTGGCCTCCCGTGCGGTGAGTGCCCACGCTGGGCTCAGCCGGGGGTACGGGCGGGGCCGGGGGGAGCCCTGGGGGTGCAGGAGGCCGAGGGCTGCACCGGCCTCTGTGGGAGCCTGGCTCCTGTCTCCCAGTCGGGATGGGTGTGGGGTGCACCACACAGGAGAGGGAGGCAGGGGGTCACCCACCCAGGGGGTCACTCACCCCGTCAGGCTAGGCTCTGAGCTCAGGCACAGGCAGGCCAGACAGAAGGCGAGGCCTGGCCTCCTCTTCTGAGTGTCCAGCACCCTGACCCGGCTCTGCTTCCTCCTGTCCAGGAGCTGAGGATGTCCCTCAGGCCCAGACTCCCAGGACCTCGAGTCTGCCCCCCACCTCCTATGAGACCCCAAGCTATGCCTGAGGACGAGACAGGCTGGGGATGCCAACACTCCCTCAGCCTCCACCGCCCGCCCCACCCCCCCGTGTGGGGGAGGGAGAGTGGCCCCTGGCCCCCTCTGGAGGCCCTACGCCCCAAGTCCCTGTAAAGGGGCCAGGGCTGGAGGGGTGGGGAGGTGGAGGTGGCATGTGGGGCTCCAGGTGCCCCCCCGCCCCGGGGGCTGCAGCTCACACTCACCACGCGTCCCCTGGAGGCCTCTGCCCGCCCTTCACCAAAACCGGACAAGAATTGAAGTGCCTGTATTTGTAGACGCCGTGACCTTATGTGTAGGAAACGATAAAGAATCCCACGAAAGCCTCAGCTCACAGGCAAGCTCAGCGGCCTGGCGGCTGCAAAGCCAGCCAGTCGGGGCGCCTCTGTCCTCCACAGTGAGCAATTCCCGGGGCAGCGGAGGAAACTGTCATTTGCAGAAGCACCAGAGAGGACAAGGTGCTTAGAAATAAACTTACCCCGGGAGGCGGGGGGCGCGTACACGGAACACTTGGCGCTCGGCTGGCTAGGCGCTCGGCTGGCGGACGTGGAGGACCATCGCAAGGAAGGATAAGGCATCGTGTGCAAGGATTGGAAGACAGTTTATCCCCACGTCCATCAGAAATCCAGGAACAGAGAATCCCCTCCTGAGGTTCAGATGGAATCGCAAAGGACCTGAATAGACAAAATAATCCCGGAAAAGAACAAAGTTGGGCCCGGCTGGCGTGACTCAGTGGTTGAGCTTCGACCTATGAAGCAAGAGGTCACAGCTCCATTCCCATCTAGGGCACATGTGGGGGCTGCGGGCTCGATCCCAGGGTGGGGGGTGTGGGAGGCGGCGGGTCCGTGACTCTCTCATCATCAATGGTTCTCTCTCTCTCCCTCTCCCTTCCTCTCTGACATCAATACAAATATTTTTAAAAATGAAAGAACCAAGTTGGACTCACACCTGAGTTCAAAACTCACTACCAAGCTACAGTGATGGACGGAGGTGGCCCGGCATGAGGACAGACACGGAGGCACTGGGAGAGGGTGGAGAGTCGAGAAATAACCCTCATCTGTATGATGCATTGATTCCACACGGAGGAAAGGCCGTTCAATGAAGAAAGGGCGCTTGCTTCAACAAACGGCACAGCCACGGGCAGAAGAATGACGTTGGGCCCTGATGCTGGTGTCCATCGGGAGATGAGGGATAGCCCTCGCCCGTGTGGCTCAGTGGGTAGAGCAATAGCCTGCGGGCTGAAGGGTCCCGGGTTCGATTCTGGTCAAGGGCACATATTTCAGTTGCAGGCTCCATCCCGGTCCTGGTCGGGGCTTGTGTGGGAGGCGACCACTCGATGTCTCTCTCACATCGATCTTTCTCTCTGTCTCTTCCCCCTCCCTTCCATTCTCTAAAATCAATGGAAAAATATCCTCAGGGGAGGGATTAGCCCGCCGCTCCCCCCCCCAAAAAAATAATGAGCGGATAAACAAAATGTGGTCAGACCTGCAATGGATCGACAACCACCCATAGAAAGGAATTCAGGCCTGACGATGCTACAACAGGGGTGAACCCTGCAAACACGTTGTTCCGTGAAATAAGCCAGACAGGCGGCCACACGGTGTACGATTCCACCTGTGAGCGCCGGGAACCGGCCAATGGAGAGGGACTGGATTGGAGCTTGGATGAGGGGAGGGAGGAGGGGGTCGTTGTTCATGGGCATGAAGTTTTGTTTGTGGTGATGACGTTGTGGAAATAGTGGCGATAATCGCATAACATTGTACTTAAATGTCACTGAATTAATCACTAAAGATGGTTAAAGTGGGAATTGTTATCTCATGTATATTTTGCCACAAGAACATTTTTTTTGGAGAGGATTTGACAGCACCACGTGTCGCTCACAGAGGATCCTAAATGCACCTGTTCGCTGGGGTGGCCACTGAGTCTCTACTTCCCTCAAGTCCAAGGAAAGATGAGAAATCCTCATCCGCTGTGACAAGCAGAGAGCCACAGCTCGGAACCAGGCGTTTCCGGCAAAATCCCACCAAGAGACGGAGAGAGAGGGGCGCCGTCTTCCTTGTTCACATTCGAAGAGACTGCTGGGGACTATGAGGAGAAACATTCCCCGTGAATGTTCCGTACGTTTTCAAAAGGTTTGCACCCATGTCAGAGGGACGGAAGGAATTTACAGGTTTCTAAGGAAAATGTTCTAAGCAAAGGGCGGGGAGGGGTCTATGTCCATTTGGGCACCAGGGAAAGTTCAAATTTACCCTCGGAACAGCTAAAGGCAGAGGGAAGGGCCGTGCAAAGGCCCTGGGGCAGGCAGGTGAGGGAGGGGGAGGGAAGGGAGAGGAGGTGGAGAGGCAGAGCGGGGTCTGTAGCCACTGAAGACAAGTGGGCTTTGACCTGGCTGGTGTGGCTCAGCGCATAGAGCCTCCGCCTGCGGACTGCAGGGTCCCGGGTTCGATTCTGGTCAAGGGCACATGCCCCAGTGGGCGTGCAGGAGGCAGCCAATCCATGACTCGCTCTCATCCTTGATGTTTCTGTCTCCCTCTCCCTCCCGCTCTGACGTCAACACACATGAAAACAAGGGGCTTTAACCGCCAGCAGCAGGTTGCTTGGAGGAGTCACATGACCCCCAGCGGGTGAGACTAGGGTGCAGGTGGAGGGTGCACAGGGAGGGCAGAGCACGCGGAAGGCGCTACAATAGAGAGAGAGAGAGAGAG